ATATGTACAAGAGAAGTTCAAAAAGTTCAAGAAAGCATAGGAAAAGGATCTCTCGATGCATCAAAACGGAATCGTTTTGAACAAAACTCGTGTAAAGATTTTATGCAAGTTCGTATAATGTAAAGGGATCGGGACACCTTTCTAAACAAAAGATTATAAGAAATAGAAAGTTTGTGCTTATATATATATATATATATATATATATATATATAAGATCATGTATATGAAAGAGATGGAATTGGAAAATCAATACAAACAGATGAGATAATGTATACCTTTTACCGTACCCTTCCTTAGCACCTTGACTCATACATGTGATGTCCCTGCCGATATGGCTGGATGATTTTTTAGGATCAGCAATCGTGCATACATCATCAGATTTGTCCCCGTACTTAGCTCCACCATCGTAAGCCTAGTAAAAAGGCTTTATTACCTAATCTTCTACTAAAGGATCATTTTTATCCCACGACATAACGTAGTGCAATTGTGGAGCTAGTGAGAAAGAGACGCGGACATTGATGATAAAGCTGGATCGTACCTAAAAATATGATAACATATATATTAACAAATTATTTAGTGAGATTCTAATCTTGTAACTTTTCATATTTTTCTCTCTGTCAACTATAGATGGGAGTGCTCTACTCTTTCAATAAAAAAAAAAAAAATTATTACATGGTCCCAACCTCAAGTGCATATTCCAGTTTTGCGCAGAAGGGATATGAAAATCACCAGAAGTTATATGTGCCAATTAATAAGCCCATGGATGTTGAAGTTTTACGGCGTGCCCATGGATGCTGAGTTGTGATTGCTCGATACTATGTAAAAAAATTTAGCAGTGAGAATATTCTCCTCTTGACACGTAATCAATTTGACACACAGTCTCCGGAAAAATCAATCAAACTTAATTGGTTGTAAAAAAAAAAAAAAAAAAAAAAAAATTCAAACTTAATTAGGACCTTAATTCGCCTCGTTAGACCTAATTCTTGACAAATGATTTCATGCCTTGGGGGTGATTAGTTAGTTATGGTCTTACATAAAACAAAATGGCAAAATGTGATTTATATAACTGATTTGTTAGGTAAAGAATAAATGATTTTGAGTTTTTAATGTCCTTGTGGAGGTGCAAGTGACGTATAGGGGTTTCTTGATTGAGAATTAGAAGCCAAATAATGTACTTAACTATTAAGTTTATGTATGCTATATCGAGCCTGGAAGATAACATCAGCATGTGCATGGTATATCTTACTAATCTTGATTTTCATGTATATATAATTAATGTTTGACCTAGAGGTTTTTTTTCTTAAAAAAAATAAAATAATTAGAAAAAGGAAAAAAATTAAGAAAAAATAAACTAGCTCTTGAATTGACAATGAGCAATAATTAATAGTCAAATAATATATTTTTCTTCAAATGAACTCCCTCCAAGCTCCTTCTTCACCTGATCTGCTGGCGGTGCCGTCTGCCCAATCACATATATGGGTTCATTTGCATCCTCTAATTAAGATAATCGTCGGTTCATGAAATATCACATGGGTTAGCATCAATTGCTCCATTAAGGCTTAATTGGTCTTAGACCAACCCTAAGATATATATATATATACATATAATAAGTTTGCAGCCCAGTAAGCTTGATCTTGTAATATCCCAGGATATTTATATATATCACTAGGCATAAATAAAATGATTGTTGACCAGTTATTTATTTATTTAATTTTCATTGGTTCAAGATGCATGATACTAGGCAGCATGGGCAGTGTGATTATTAGCCAGCTAGGTTAAGCTTCACACACAAGTTAAAATGGCCGGGTAGGAACAATATAAATGAAGCAACTGTTCAAGGTAGCGTAGTTTTCATGGATTTAAGATGTCAAGAATAATGAGCTAAACTAGAGGTCACAATTTGTATTCGGGTCATAATTGTATTGTATCGATATAAGAATATTTTATTAAACAATTTAAATTGAACACGATTCTTTTAAAAATAATGTCAGGAATCCTCAAAACTAATCCGACTTGTTTATTAAACACGTTACAAGTAATGAGTTAAATTAGGGTTCGCAATTCGTGTTCGTGAGTCGTAATTGTGTTGTATTGATATAAGAATATTCTATTAAACAGCTCAACTCGAACACGACCTGTTTAAAAATCATATCAGAAAACCTCAACAGTAACCCGGTCTGTTTATTAAACGAGTTACACGTATAACTCATTCAATAAACTATTTAATAAAATGAAACATTATATTATTTAAATTATTAATAATACTCAATCAAACAATAAATGCTAAAAAAATATAAATTTCAATTTAACCAAATTACTAAATAATCTCTAATTTACAAAAAACATAAATTATAAAATACAAGTTTATGTAATTATTTTGGAACTTAATTAGAAATTTGTTTATAACAAGTATAGTTAAACAGGTATAAACAGATTACATGGATTGAACCCCTCAACCCAAATATGACACGATTAACTAAACGACTTTATCGTAACGACATATTTACGATCCGAATTTATTTAAGATCAACCCGAACCCGCTTAACTCGTTTAACACATATTGGTGGGTCATGTCCGAGTTATATTGGTGAGTCGTGCTATACAATATGACTTGTTTAACACATATGATTTTTATGATATTTTTAATTTTAGTTATATATTTTACGTTAACCTCAAAGTTGCCTCCATAATCTGATTTTTTTTTAATTCTCTACACCTCTTTCATTGATAGCTTGAAAATATGTAAAAATCAAGGAATGGAATAAAATAAAATGCTAGAAATAAAAAAAAAAGCTAATTAATTAAGAAACATGGAGGTCAATAATCATCTAATACTCCCACAAGTTGTTGCATGAATGTCATAAATGTCTAATTTGGAGACAAGTTATTTAAACTTTAAGCTTTGGAAAAAAAAATACTTATTGAATTGTAAGAACATAAGATATTTTGATGAGTAATTTAAATCAACACGTTTAGTATGCTCGTGAAAGACTAGATTAGTAGCAATGTGAAGCGCCACTTGATTATCACAATAAAATGTAATTGGGTTTAGAAAGATTGACACCAAAATCTTCTAAAAGGATAGCTTAACAATTGGACTGAATACAAGAAATGTATAATCCTAGTCAAAGAACGTCAAGTGATTGGACAAATGGCACAATTTGAGTCGCAAACTCGCAATAGGTGTTGAGCTGAAAGGGGCTGGTTGATGAGAGCAAAATTCCTTGTCCAAGAGTTGATTTGAGATAACTAGGTTTGTAAATGAACTAAGTGGAGCTTTGGTATTGTAGATAAATATCATATTTTGCCCCCTATTTTTGACTAACCTCTAAAAGTCTATCAATTGGCGTGATTAAGGAGTTTCAAAGACTCCAAATTCACCAAAAGGGTGGAATTCTATCATTTCAAATTGATTCACCATTCCACCAATGATTACCTTAAATCAGACCCGACTAATTTTCGATATACTAATCCTCATTTTAATCAAAATCAAAGGGTCCCAAGGTGGAATTTAATCATTATTGAACCTTTCAAATCAATTCCACAATTCGATCACAAATCCAACCTCGATTAAGTTTTTGGTTCTCTAATTTCAATTTGGATCAACGTCAGAGGTCAGAATCCTTCATTGAACTCTATCAAAGGTCCAAACTATCATTTTTGGAACATATTCCATCAAATTTTAAACGGACCCACTTGATTTGATCAGTTCTCAGAAATAAAAAAAAAAAAAAATAGAATTTTGAGGCTCAATTTTCCATTCCCAAATTTTCAAATATTTGCAACAAATATTCTAAAACATAAATCCTCTCTCAACTATGTCCACATTTCCCATTCCCAAATTTTAAAATATTTACATTTCCATTATCGAATATTCTCAAATATGTCTTTCAACTTATTTATTTTATTGGCAATAAATACACATTCACACACTCGAACCCCACCTATTAATGAGGAGGTTATACTATTAGGCTAATTGTCCTTTGATACATCCTCTCTTAACTTGGCTACTGTTGGGTTTGTGGCTTAAAATTGTCTATAGAAATTAATTTCCTTTTTCATTTTGGAATATTAAAATTAATTTCTTTTTTTTTTTATTTTTTATTTTTGGAATGTTGAAATTTGTTAAGAAAATTGTGTTTCATAAAGTTCCTATTTTAGAGTTGGGATTGATATGGTAACTCCTTATAGGCAAAGCATTTGGGTTTGAAGACTCTATAAATAGATATGGGTATGAGAAGATTAAATTGTAGAGAGAAAAAGAGAGTTGAGATTGTGTGTGTGAGAGAGAGAGAGAATAGTTTGTAATCAAGTATTTGAAGTAAAGTTACTTGTTCTTCGCACGTGGACTAGGCAATTTTGCAACCATGCAAATTTCGTTTTTTGTTTGTGTGTGATTTTTTTATCTGTTATATTTGTCAATTGTGTGTGTGAAACCCTAACAGCTACCTCGCGAACACCTTCATAATCCAAGTGATAAGGTTGCTCTCCGCTATCCTGGAAGCCTGATTTCGAGCCTTATCATCCCCCTCCGAACTGAATACTAACCCGTAACATTCTTGCTATGAGAAGAAAAAAAAAAAAAAAAAAAAAAAATGTTTGTAACTATGAAAAAAAATTGGCTATGAAAAAAAAACAAAAACAAAAAAAAAACGAAAAACGAATTGGCTACCTCAAGTTGCAACTAGAAAAATAGAAACGAAAAAAACGAGTTTTTGCTAGGGGTCTAAGTGTAATTTCCTTTGGCATCGAGGTTAATATGGTTATTTTCTCTTTTCAAATAATTTCCCCAATTTTCAACCTTTTCAAGCTCATCTTTCCTGTTAAAGCAGAAACCTTTTGTATCACTCATTCTCTCTCACACGTCTCATATTCTCGTCGTCTGCATCTACAATTACTTCTCTTTGGCAAGTTCTCTCTTGGCGGTAAGAAGAATATTGCACATTCAAATATATATATATGAATATTCTTCTGATTATAGTGTTTAATTTAACTGAAATAAACCCACATTTGTTTTTCAACCCCTCTTTTCTCTCTCTCCACGTCCACTATTTATTTGTTTGTTTTCACAGGAGAAAAAGTTATTTATGCTTACTCGCCACACACATCCTCATTCACGCAAAAAAGCCCAGTCTCCAGAGTTCGTTCCCTTGGACACTTCTAAACTCTCTCTCATCTGAATATTCCATGTTTTTGCGCATTCTTACATTTCTGTGCTAATACTTCATGTAACTGCTCCTAATCCTCTCTTCTTCTTTGTGGGTTGTCAATTCGTTTCTTTCTCAAAAGTGTCTTTACCTATAATGTAATCTGTTGCTTCATTTTCTCTATTTGATTAATGCCCACATGCTCTAAATTGTTCTGAATCTTTTCTTCGGATTTAGATAATGGGTTATCGTTAATTTTGCTGTTTCCAATCTGTAGACTTTGTATTCTGGTGATGCCCATTTGCTTGAAATTGTTCTAAATTTTCCCAATTTCAGTCTGCAACAATGGGTTTTCGTTAAATTTTCAGTTCTTGATATCTGAAATTTTCTGAGTCAAAACTTGAATTTTTTCAAAATTTAGAATGTAAGTACGGACTATGTAACTGATCTTTGCACTTCTGTTCAGTTCTGTTTTTTGTTGAGGTGTGTTTGGTGGGGATTAGTTCATGATTAGGAGGCCTTTTCTATGTGTAAGTAAAGAAGTAAGGTAATGGATCTGCGCTTTGTTGAAGTCAACCGCTAATTGAGATCTGAGAAGATGGGTAGTGTCTGTTTTTTTCGTTAGTATTGACCATCCCAATTAACAATGAATTCCATTCGTTAGTACTGTGATTTTCACTTAGCCATGGAATTCAAGTAATTGAAAATTTTCTTGAATTGGATTGGGAACTCCATCCTTTTTTTGATTGACATTGATAACTAATTTATTCTTTTGTTCTTGTAGCAATATGTAAAAAATCATTCTTTACAAATTCTTTCAAATGTAAATTTCTCAAACTGTATACATTTTTGTACATGGACCTCATAAGGGGTTAGTTATGCATCAAAAAATAATGAATCAACACGCTTCTCTGCCGTTTCTTCTATGTTGTTGATGATCAAGTAGCGTTTGTCTTTCTGCCCATATTTTCTCACACTTTGCTTATGCAAATTTAGTTATCGTAATACTGGCCTCTCGAGTTACTTCAAGTCTACATTTTGAATTTAGTTTCGTTCATATTTCATCGTGTCCGAGTCTGTTTTTTGTCAAAGAAAACAAAAAAAAGTCCAAGTTATCATTTTGGGTTGAGTTATCATGGAAGAAACTTTTGTTCCCTTGCGTGGAATCAAGAATGATATCAAAGGGAGACTGCTATGCTACAAGCAAGATTGGACTGGTGGACTCCGTGCCGGTATCAGGTTTGTGATTCTCCCATGACTTGACTCCTTTGGCATATGAATACTGTCATAGTGTCATGTAGTTATAGATGTTGATATAGTTATATTACATTTGGACTTAAATGATTTTACCATAATTATCAGTAAATAACTAAATTCTAATAGCAAAATTTTATTTTGCTGTGTATATGATATTATATTAATACGGAATTACTGGTTTTTGGATTTAGTACTTTTTTGGGTGTGATTTACAAGTTCTTGTCCTAACTTCTGTTGTTCAGGATCCTGGCTCCAACAACGTATATTTTCTTTGCTTCAGCAATCCCAGTTATTTCTTTTGGGGAGCAACTGGAAAGAAATACAGGTAGGGGGACAAGTTTAAATGCCAATATCCTCTTATTGTTACAACTTTAAACTATAGATTTGCTAAGACATGCTTTGCGTGCGTAATTGTTACAGATGGAACTATAACTGCTGTGCAAACTCTTGCATCAACTGCCCTTTGTGGCATAATCCACTCAATTGTTGGAGGACAACCGCTGCTTATACTTGGAGTTGCAGAGCCAACAGTGTTGATGTACACTTTTATGTTCAGCTTTGCAAAGGACAGAAAGGATTTAGGGCAGAAGCTCTTCTTAGCCTGGACGGGATGGTACATTCTGAAAACTCCTGGAACTTAAACATTCGGTCATTCTTTCTGTTGGGAATTCTTAGTTTTTCGTATTGCTGTTTTCAGGGTTTGTGTGTGGACAGCTCTTTTGTTGTTCTTGCTAGCCATTTTGGGTGCATGCTCTATCATCAATAGGTTTACACGTCTGGCTGGTGAACTATTTGGTCTTCTGATTGCCATGCTTTTTATGCAGCAGGCTATTCGGGTGAATCCATATTTTCCATTGAATGCTTTTGCAATACTAATATGTGCCCTTTTCACTCTACTTAAAAGCTTATGAATATCCATTATTTAGGGACTTGTGGAGGAGTTTGGCATACCGCAGCGAGAAAATCCTAATCAGACTGCACTTCTACCTTCTTGGCGTTTTGGAAATGGAATGTTTGCACTGGTTCTATCATTTGGCCTTCTTCTTACTGGATTGAGAAGTCGTAAAGCTAGATCATGGCGTTATGGGACAGGTATATGTTTTGCTTTGAAACTCTTGGTTAAAACCTTCCTTGCATGTTATGGAATTACACTTTATTATTGTTGTGTACTTTGGAAGAATGCTTGACTTTAAAATGTGCTTTCAAGGTTGGCTACGGGGATTTATTGCGGATTATGGTGTCCCACTTATGGTGCTTGTGTGGACAGCTGTATCGTACATACCTTATAATGATGTCCCAAGAGGGATACCAAGGCGGCTTTTCAGCCCAAACCCATGGTCTCCTGGTGCATACTCAAATTGGACTGTTATCAAGGTGTGTCCTGTATTTCATTTTCTTTCCAGTATTGCACATTACTCTTTCACTAGCATCACATTGTGAGTTCTTGATTTTTGTTTCTTTTACTATTTTATCGCCTCTTAACCTTGCTTGATACTCATAGTTGTTTACTTTCTTGCTCAGGAAATGTTGAATGTTCCTCCTTTATATATAGTTGGTGCATTTATTCCAGCCACTATGATTGCTGTGCTTTACTACTTTGACCACAGCGTTGCATCTCAACTTGCCCAACAAAAGGAGTTCAATCTGAAGAAACCTGCTTCATATCATTACGACCTTCTTCTTTTGGGCTTCTTGGTGAGCTATTATGACTGGAATTTCATTTTTTTTTTTTATTTTCGTTTTGACCTTTGTGTTGCAATTGAAATAATCACACCAGAAACCAAAGGTTCTTGTGTTATAGCTAGTTTGGCTTTTCCTTCTAATATTGTTTTTTTGGCCAGGTAATAATATGTGGTCTTATCGGCATTCCTCCTTCCAATGGTGTTATTCCACAATCTCCAATGCATACAAAAAGTTTAGCCACCTTGAAACATCAGGTATTATCTAATTATTCTAAATACTGAAAATAACATGAATGTCATGTCTGTTTGATTTGCTGAATTCTCTCATATGTAAATTGTAATTTCAAAAATCTGAACTATAGGATTTTTAGTGTAGCAATCTCCCTTAATTTTCTTGTCCTATGAGCAAAGATTTAAATAGGAATTTGTCTTATTCTCTACATGCTGCACTCCTTGCAAACTATAGCAGGACCGTGATTGTTAATTTTTACAAATATCTGCAAGGGTGACCTCATATATAGAAGTTTATATATCTCTAGACTGTTAACTAAGCTGTTAAAGATTTGAACAGAGAGCTTCATGTGATGGAAACAACTTTTTGTGAGACATTTTTTTATTGAGATCCTTGGTTTTCCTGCTTGTTTTCCAACTGTTCTTTCTGCAATGTGTGTTTTTCCTGTTTGAGTCTCTTTTAATTCTATTTGATAAGAACCTTTGTTTCTTCTGCTTTAATATCTAAAGAGCTAGTCTTCTCTCTTTGTTCATCCTTGAAACAGCTTCTACGGAATAAGCTTGTATCAACAGCTCGAAAAAGTTTCCGTAAAAATTCAAATTTGGGTCAAATGTACCAGAACATGCAAGAAGCATACAATGAAATGCAGACACCACTTGTTTATCAAAACCCACCTGCTCTGGTAAACAAATCCTTGGTCTTTGAATGGTTACAAATCATCACATATGTTATTCTCCGTTATCTTAACTTTGTGCTTGGAACAGGGACTGAAAGAACTGAAAGAGTCCACAATCGAACTCGCTTCAAGTGCTGGCTACGTTGACGCCCCAGTTGATGAGACTGTTTTTGATGTGGACAAGGATATTGATGATCTTTTACCTGTTGAAGTCAAAGAACAACGCCTCAGCAATCTGCTTCAGGCATTGATGGTTGGTGGTTGTGTTGCTGCAATGCCTCTTCTAAAGAAGATCCCAACTTCTGTTCTTTGGGGTTATTTTGCTTTCATGGCCATTGAAAGCTTACCTGGAAATCAATTTTGGGAGAGGATATTGTTACTTTTCACTGCTCCAAGTAGAAGATACAAGTAAGTTATGCTAATATTTGTTGCCAAGGATGGTGTTTTAGCTATTTACTCTTCTTATTGTCTTGGGTTCTAAAATTACTTAGCTCATCTATAATGCTGTATCTTATATCTTCACATAAATGTTCCCCCTACAAACTTTCTACATTGAAAATGTTTTATTAAAAAGGAAACTTATGGTACTGATGTCATATTTTGCATGGTTTTATTGGTAAAAGCAATGGGATTCAGCTCCATACTAGTTTATTTTATTTTCATCCTTTAACACAGTTCTCAATATGATCGTAAACTTAATTTGAAATGCAATAATTCAGATTACACATGTTGATTTGAATTTAGATTTCTAAATTTTACTTTGTGATTGTTGAAGGTTATATCAACTTATATGTATAAAATTAAACTAATCTTCTTCTTCTTCTTTAACATTACTATTGATAGAAGATTACAACAAACTAATCATCATGATTAAATTTGTCAGGGTGTTCGAGGATTGTCATGCAACCTTTGTCGATACTGTCCCTTTCAAAACAATTGCCTTGTTCACTTTGTTTCAGACAGCTTACTTGCTTGCCTGTTTTGGCATAACATGGATCCCAATGGCTGGTGTCCTCTTCCCATTGTTGATCATGCTTCTGGTCCCTGTGCGGCAATATTTGCTCCCCAAGTTTTTCAAAGGAGCTCATCTTCAAGACTTGGATGCTGCAGAATACGAAGAAGCGCCTGCTGTAACTTACAACATGTCCTTTGAAGTGAGTTTTCTGACCCATCTTTATTTCAGCTAGGCCTATTAATGGTTAAAGTGTTAAACTCTTTTAGATGTTTCTGGGTTTCATCTATATTTTACAGTATAACAAAACCATAACTGCCTCAAATCTGCTAGAGTTGTCACCCTAATGAACTGGGGCTATAAAAGATGTTAGCAAGTCAGAAGAATTAGATTCATATGTATTCAGGATATAGACTAACGATCAACTTATTAATATACAAAAGAATCAGACTCTTTCTGACACAGATAATTTGAGACCTGGAACTGAACTATGAACTTGGGTCATAATCTGATCCATAAGCATATTTTAGACATCTATGTGAAGCTTTGAGTCTCATCTGCAATCTTTTGTACATATGTGCAGGGTCAAGATCCTGCAGCAAGAACTGCCAACATGGATAGTGGTGAACTTCTTGATGGAATCATCACAAGAAGTCGTGGCGAGATCCGCCGTACACAGAGTCCAAAAGTAACAAGTTCAACCCCAGGTTCGGCAGAGCATTTGAAGCCTGCTTATAGCCCACGGTTGTCACGGAAGGAATCCAGCCCCCGTATAAATGAGCTTAGGATGGAAAGGAGCCCTGGAATTGCTGGAAAAGGGCTTGACATTAAGCAAACTCCCAGTCCTCGGCCATCCATCCTCGGTCAAAGCAGTCACGGTCCACCTTCAAGCTAAAATCCTCAACCCTGTTATTTCAGTGTGTTAAGTTGTCATGGTGCTCGAGAGGTCATGCAAAATTTGTGTACTAAGTATTGTCCTGTAAGTGTTGTTTTTCTTTACGTTTGTGTAACTAATGTATTAACAATGTAGGCTGTTTGTCTGTGTTACTCTTGGTTTTATCACCCAAAATATGATCGGCAGAGGACACATTTATGATAATGTAAGATTTTGTTATTCTTTGCTTGTGTTCAGCTCGAATTTTCTTCCATTCTGTTAATTTGTGTTGTATGGAGCTATGAAAGAACCAAGAGGGGGGAATAGTTGAGAAGAATAACTTAACTAGCACATACGAATACTAACTATGGCTTTAAAATGCTAAAAATTAATGTGACTGCGCTACCTAGTTATTTTTCCCTTGTGTTTGTGTAGTAGTCACTGAATCAAAAACCAGTGTAATCTGCCTATAGTGTAATTAGAAATATAAACCTAATAAGTAATCTCTTGATCCTTTCTTATATAAACTGTGTTAGAAAAGAACCAAAAAAAAAAAACAAAAAATCTTCTAGGCTTCTAGCTTAGCTGAACTTCTGCATAAATTTTAATTGCTTGCTTAAATGATCAACAAATTTGCACGAAAACCATGTGAATTTAACAAAGTCTTATTTGAACTATATGAGGTCTATCAAGAGCAAAAAGAAAAAAATATCCCATATGATGTCAGCTAAGGAAAATAAATCGAATTCAAGATTTATGTAGCTTAAATGAAGATTTTTTTTGTCTATCAACCACTTCACCTCTCCTTTCTTGGGGTTGACTGCAAGTGAGAAACATATTCAAACGAATATTTATGCTGTCACTATAGGACTTGCTTCTTTGCTGCATTCCCATTTGATGTATCAGCACAACTACTATTGAATTATTTTTCTTTAATAATGTAAATATTATTATTAAAACTGGTATGATTAGACAATTGAGATACAGTTAATCAAATAATTCACTAGTCAAAAGGGGGATGGGGAGTGAGAAAAGTACAAATTACTCTGTAAGTTTTTGATTTGATATCTTTGTTTGTATGTTTAAGGAAGCTTGGAGAGAGCATAAAATGTGGTGGATTAGACGTATATTGATTTATATATGATGTCAGTATGCTCTGTTATTTTATTAGCATTCAAGAGGAGCAATATGTGACACTGAACTAACTTCTGGAAGGAGGTTTTTTTATTTTTATTTTAATTTATTATCGTTATTTTATAATACTGGGCAACCATGTAACTTGTTCTAAGTTAACATCATTCTTTTTATGCTATTAACATTACTGAGGTGGGAGTTCTTAGAACCATTTCCGGACCTTGTATTCTCTCACACCATATGGAGCCTTATTGACCCTCCTGGCATGTTAAAAGGAATAAGTTAAGCTATAAATTTATAATTGTGTTAAAGATAAATATCACAAGCAATTTCTTCTTAAACCTTGCTAATTCCACAGGGATACTTAAATTCAATTTTGTGCTTTTATTCTCTTTTATGCGTGCATAATTGTTTTCGTTAAGAGATCACAAAACCAAGGGCCATGTTCATAATTTTTTTTTTTTTTTTTTTTTTGCATTTAGCCTTGTATTTCCTTGATTTTATGTGGTCAGTACTCCTTAAGTTAGACGTACAATTAGAAAATGCATATTTGGTTGCATCTAACTACTAGTGAATAGAGAAAATCTGATTTTTAATGATGCAAAATATCTATACTGGAGTTGCCTAGATTCAATACGAATTTGAGCTGAATGGCAGCTAAAGCATGCTCATGGCACACAGCAACCAGTTCCGGCTTATAATTTTGACCGTGTGTTTAGGTTCTTTTGTTTGTGCTTGTACTATGACATTTCTTTTCTGGTTATTGTGAATTTGGTCAGGATCGTGGGGTTGGATCCTCAGGCATTATCGACATTGCGAAGCTGACAAATGATTTTTCCACCACCCATGTCAATTTGAAGCAATGGGGACCAGAAAAGGGGTGTGTATCGTGTACGGATATCCATCCTTGTCTTGTCATTTTTGTTGTTCAATCAGCACTCACTTATTGAAGGGTGAACACTTGTTTTTGTTATGATATGGATGATGATGTTCATAGTTCATACTGATTGAGAATCCAATAATGGTTTTGAAATGGAGAGTGATGCGAATCTTTTCTTATACAGCAGAAGCTAAGGAACATCCCACTTTTCCTCTGCCTGCTCTTTCTTGATTACTAACATGAGAAGTGATAGCCTACTGCTTTCCCTCTAGGTTTTCTCACTGACATTTTTTATCTTTTTTTTTTTTTTTTTTCCTTGGGCATTTTTAATTCTTGCTAATTTGTCAATTTTTTTGTAGTTCCTACTTGAGTTATGAAAGGCTGCGAAACTATGTTTAAATGAGAATTTAAATTTGTTGAATAAAGTTGGAAAATGTTTTTCTTTGGTACTGGTTCAACTCAAGGGGCTCCTCAAACACAAGTAATTTTCCTGTTCTGCTTTATACAAGGCGACATCCTCTGTTAGGCATAGGTCACTTTGTTTACTTTTAGTCTCAACACGTGTTCAATGTGAGCTTCATTGAGTCATAAATTTATGTAATGAATATTATATATCATAAATGTGCAATTTTGCCTATTTTTTTTTTTTCAAAAATAAATTTCGACGTCGGGTTATTCTATCTCTACACTTTACTGCCTTCTTCTCCTAAATTATAGTTTTGATGCCATAATGTATTCAAAATACAGAGAGATTTCTCTATTGTTGATATGGATATGAGAAGGATGACCTATTTGGTGTCTTAATAGGCAGGGAACACAAGTTAGTGGAATGCATGCATTTCCTTCCACTATATCTACTGTCAGTTCTAATGGTCCAACTGGTACTCCTCCTACTTTTTAAGATTGTTCCAATATTTACTCCCTTTCATGATAAGTGAGGTATTATTGATAGAGATTGATAACAACTCAGGGACCCCATGCTCTAAAAATAGCCCTAAAGATATCTTGCCTGAAGTGTCTCTCTGTGTCAAGAGAGACCTTATTATTTTAAGTCAGTGGACACTCTTTTTTGAGTGTGGGTGAATAAGTTTTATATATCTGTGTGCATATGAGCTCTTAATTTATAATCTAAAGTAGTGTAATCTCCATTTAAGACTCTGGATGGAGACAACTAACATCTTTAAAAACAATAATAATTTATGAGTTTTTAGTTCTCTGGGAAGCCTGAATACTTGGTTATGGTTTATGTTTCTTGCTTATGTTGGTTGCGGCATGAATCACTATGATGCGCGATGTGAATTAAAAATGAATGTTAGGTAAGCAACTTAATCTGAAACATGATAAAATGGGGGACCATGCTTAAATTAATTGATTTGAACATCATTAGTGTGTGGGAAGATTTTTAATAATGCAACATGTTTGGTCCATGGTCAGATTGGATGTTAATTGCACTACAAGGGAATTGTGCTGATGCTAAGTTATATTCATGTATGAGTTGAGTTTTCACTTTTGAAGCAAAGAAGTTGCATAATATAAAGCTGTAAGATGTGAATTGACCAAGCATGTAGAAGTATAGCACTTATATCTTCTAGATGTGTTTTCATCCCCTGATTTCTATTTGGTTGGGTTTGATATGCTCTCCCATTATCAACTTTGTTATTGTTTTCTATGTTAGGATTGGTGGTATGATGCCTAGATGTTACATGACATTAATGTTTTCTGTGATATTATTGTTTTCAAGTATTATAAAATGCCCAAAACTCGATACTTCCAACTTAAACCACAAGTATCGGGTAAGAACAGGATAAAAGATGACGTACTTTATGTCATGATAAACATTCGATGCTTTCAGAAGTTATGTTTACAGATTTCATATCAACTGAGCTATCTCGTTACAGGAAAAAGTAAATAGCTTTGGGCTCCCTTGTACCCCACCTTGGGGCATTATATACTTGGTGTTTTGAAAGTATGGAATATGGATTGATGATGAAGTGAAGTTCAGCCGTGACCAGAAGTTGCTACCAAATCAAAGCGAAGCTTTTATTAAGTCAGTATTTCTCCTAAAGCATGACTTAGTTAGAGAAGAAGAAAAAAAAAAATTAGCATACTTAGAAACTGATACAAAAAGTATACAAAATGAGAATTTCTTTGATCATGGCAAGTATAGTCCATTAGATGTCACACTTGGAACATGCCAATATATGTATCAATATTGTGTGAAATATACCAATCACATTCTTTCTTCATTATTACCATATATATGAAAGATATTATTACAAAAACATGATAGAGTTTTTAATCCAGTATTTGAGATGTTGGAAGAAATTAAGTGAAATTACAATTTCCAAATAACAGATCTGAATGATTAAAAACAATAATGCTTTATGAGTAATACTGTTATTATACACAATTGTTTATTCCATCTCAAATTTCAAAAATTGGTGCTTTGCAAAATTTTAAATTAAAAAACTTGGTTATAACGGTAATTTTATCCAATTTTTTCTTTTTTAATTAAAAAGTAGATTAATACAATTGTTTTTGCAAAATTTTACAAATCAACTAGTATTTAACTAAATAATTTTTTATTTTTTCCTTCAAATATATCAAATTTTTATTTATTTATTTTTATTGTTAATACTCATACTCAATTCGTTAGACTTGAATCCTTACTTTTCATTTTTTTTTTTCCTTTAAATAAATAAATTCTTCACCTTATACTTTGATTCAAATATATAAGTATCAATTTCAAGTGATGAAAGTTATCCATCCACTTACATGATTTGGTAGTATCTCTTTTTTACTTTTAGAGTAGAAGGTGTTGAATTTAATATATCTTTAAAGTTGAAAAAAAAAAAAAAAATTAATAACTTGGGTGTTGAATTCAATATATCTTTAAAGTTAAAAAAAAAAATTAATAACTTTAAACATAAAGTGTATTTTATAAAGTGAGTAAAACTATATAGATAAGGAAATGAATCTTCAATACAATTGGGGATATACCTGCCCAAACCAGGCCAGGCCCAAGTGGGCTTACATTTCAAAAATTAAAAAAAAAAAAATCATCAAAAGAGGCCTAATCGAGTCATCGACCCAAGAGGAGTCTCGAAATTTAACAGGGACCTTATGGTCAACTAATTATTTGTAATTTCATCCAAACATAGCTGACTATGTGACTCCAAAAATTGAGTTCGTTTAGGCCTTATAAATTTACCTAGCGTGTGTAAAAATGAGTAAT